GCCAGGAGCAATGTTACATGTATGTTCCTTGGACATCAAAAAATCAGCATGCTTTCAGGGTTGGTGGGGTTCATAGTGGAATATACAGTAGTAGTAGCTGGTGTGTATTTGTTGAGTTGTTTGTTTTTCTTCTCTCTGCAGGCTGTATGACTGCAGGATTACAGTGGAAGACTTTGCTGCTCTGGTTTCAGCTCTGAAATCAAACTCGTCACACCTGAGAGAGCTGAACCTGAACTTCAGTAAACCAGGAGAGTCAGGAGTGAAGCTGCTCACTGATCTACTGAAGGATTCACGTTGTAAACTGGAGAAACTACAGTGAGTTACTGACTTATTTCATTGCCTAAGAACACACAGACATCCACAATGTCACTGGCATTATCAATTATGCATACACTGTAGTAACAATAGGAGTCTGATAATAAGGAGAACTTTGCATTTACAAATAGTCAATCCATGTGTTTGTTTTTGTGAAACCCTTATTTTATTCTGAAAGCCCAGTCACAGCAAAACTTTGTTTTAAATTCGGTTCATTTCAGTGGCATTTCAGAGTGCTGGGTTGAATGGTTTTGCATCTCAGGCTTCCAGAGTGAATAAGTTTAACTTTGGTGTGGTGTCATCTGAAGGGGGATGCTTTGTATAGTAGCACCAAAGATACAAAATAGAGAAAGTGTTTATTGTAGCAGTGTCTAAGCACACTATATATTTCTTCATAATAGGCTTTAAACAACCACATAAAAGAGTGAGGCAGCATGGCTTGCAGTCGGTTAAGAGGCTGGATTAAATGGTAATACTACATGTCTGCTGCAGTAGTTTGAAAAGCAGGATTCTAAACCCGATTGGATGGTATCAAACCCTATGCAGTGAAGTGTTGCACAGAGGTGAACCACTTCTCATGTTTTGTGGATAAACCGTACTACCAGCATTCTGTTAAAAACACGAGGAGCATACAGTTAAAAAGACAATCATTATAATGAAAGTAGAGTGAACTATAAAGTGAGAATGTCAAAGCTTCAGATTTTGACTTTGATTTTGACAAAACAAACAGGCTTGGTAATCTTTGTAGTACATACTTATCACCGGTGTGCACTGGAGTGGGGCTATAGGGGCTTCAGTCACTGTCTCAATTAATACTGCCCTTTTTGATGAGCTCTAAATGCTGAATCGGCCACTGCGCCAAACCAAAGTGTTATTCTTGGAAATCAGGCACAATTTTATTGCGTTTGTTGTAAAATTTGAAAAGAATTATGGCATAAAATTCTGCAACACAGCAGCCCGATCACATTCATGTCTTGGTTTTCCTGCCACTTTCAGTTTGTGTAATACAGAAGCATCAGCACCAACTTCAAAATATACAGTAATGTTAGCTTAACTTTCACACAGAGAGTTATGTTGCTCTTATTTGGCAATAAAGGTCACAGTGAAACGTCAACATTGTATAAACAATGTAGTATGATACCAAAATCAAGGCTGAAGGCTGAAGTTGGCTTAATATTCACCAGTTTCTCATTAGAATTTTCTGTTCTAACTTACAGGCAGCGGCAGTTATATTCTGGTATCAGTACAGCTGCCAGATAACTGCTGCACAGTTTAAGTTTGAATGAAAAAGATAAATGTGAAGATGAAAAATATAAAGGTAGAGAGCATTTTTTCTATTTCTAAATACTACTACTATTACTACTACTACTAATAATAATAATTATAGAGCAAAACAATGTTCATAATAATAAGACATTTTACTTATAAACTAAATATAATCATTGGTAGAATGAAGTGTTTAAATATATTTTGCTCTGTCCTCAGCTCTTAGCTCAAACTTCCAGTCTGAGAGAACTAGACCTGAATAACAGTAAACTGCAGGATTCAGGAGTGAAGCTGCTTTCTGCTGGACTGGAGAATCCAAACTGTAAACTGGAGAAACAGGAGTAAGATCATCTGTTTGTCAGGGATATTCTGATTTACGATTATTCTTTTGTGTTTGTGTGAGGTGACATTTATAAATATTTATTATTTTTTAAATAATAATAGTAATAATATGTTTATTTATAAAGCACTATTTATACCAGTGACAGCTCTGAGTGCATTACAGACAGGTGATAATATGTTGCAGTAATAGACAAGGCAATGACAGATCAAGGTAAAAAGGAATACCAAAGAAACGTGGAATTTTGTCATTCACACACAAACATGAACCAGTGCTGTCTCAGTACTGTGGTTGCAACGAAAACCTGATTGAAACTTCTCATATAGTTGTTTAATATTACACATGCATTTAATTATTTGAAAGTAATTTTTCTAAGACTTTACTTAAAAAGAAAGATTAGAAATTTGTCAAATTATTTAGTATGGCAGGATTTATGCTACACATTTTCAGTAGGAACATCACCAGGGCAGTATTAAAAGCATCTGGAAAAGCACCTGTTAACAGAGAACAGTTTACAATAGTTAAGACATCATTGATCACTTATCAGAATCTATCTTAAGGAATGAATTAAGAATGGGGTGAAGATCACATGTGGACAAACTTAATTTGTTTATAACATTTGTAAGCTCCTGATAGATAACAGAAAAAGATGTCATCACTGATAGAGATGGCTTATCAGGAAGGTTATAAGAACTTGTTTCAGTTGGCTGTGATATGATCTGTCTTGTCAAGTCTATTTTATTTTAAAAATGAAGTGCAAACTCTGCAGATTTTAGAAGATAAATCACTATCCATTACACTAGAAGAACAGATAGGGTTAATTAATCAATCTATGGTGGAAAAAAGGACTTTGTTATTATCTTTGTGTTTTTTAATGATTCTAGAGAAGTATGACTGCATTGATATTTTCATTGCATTATTGTAGGTGGAGTAGGTGGAGATCTGCTCTCTGAGAAAATCACAATGTACCTACATTTTGGTTTCCCCTATAAGATATGATAAAGACAGTTGTTAACAGTAGTGCCACTACCATTCAAGGTGCCACGGCAGGTATTGCCAAACAATAAAGCGCAGGTAGTGATGCGATTTACATCCCTCCAACAAACCCTTAAGAGAAAACCTGAGATGCAGGCACAGTATGTGGCATTCATGGAGAAGATCTTTACCAATGGACACGGATGAAGGTCCACGTCTTTGGCAATAGGCCATCTCCTGCCGTAGATACCTATGGGCTGCGAAGAGCCATCAAAGAAGGTGCACAGAAGCATGGTGCTGATACTGTCGGGTTTGTCGAAAGGCATTTCTACGTTGATGATGGCTTGGTGTCCGTACCATCAGAAGCTGAGGCAGTAGACCTGCTCCAACGAACACAGGCCTCACTTGCAGAATCGAACCTCCGCTTACATAAGTTCACATCAAACTGTCAGGCAGTCGTGGAGGCCTTCCCACCTGAAGACTGTGCCCCAGTACTCAAGGATCTAGATCTGGATGGAGAAATTGCACCTGCACAACGGAGCTTAGGTCTGCTTTCGGAGGTTACAACTGATACATTCACCTACTCTGTGTCAACAACCAACAAGCCGTTCACCCACCGTGGAGTTCTCTCCACTGTCAACAGTTTTTTCGATCCCCTGGGTCTATTAGCGCCTGTCACGATCCAGGGAAAAGCCCTTCTCAGGGAATTTACCTCTGAGCTGTCCGACTGTGACTCACCTCTCCCAGAAGACAAACTAAGCAGATGGGAAGCTTGGAGAGATTCACTCCAAGATCTAAAACAGCTTCATGTTCCACGTATGTACACAACAATCTCACTCACTCAAGTAGTGTACACGGAATTGTGTGTATTCTCAGATGCATCAGCTAAGGCCATCGGTGCTGTGGTGTACCTTAAAGTGGCACCCCAGTGCGGGCCTACAATCCCAAGGCTTGAGCTGTGTGCTGCTGTCTTGGCAGTAGAATTGGCAGAACTCGATCAAGATGAGCTAGACCTGAAGTTTGATGCCACCAAGTTCTACACAGACAGTAAAGTAGTGCTGGGCTATATTTGTAATGAGTCCAAACAATTTTATGTGTACGTCCACAATAGAGTCCGACGCATCCGGCAGTCCTCAAAGCCTGAGCAATGGCACTATGTACGTTCTGAAGAAAACCCTGCCGACCATGCATCTAGATCCTTACCTGCATCCTGCCTGGAGCAGTCCTCTTGGTTCACTGGACCCTCCTTCTTATGTCAGCCACCTGCAGAAAAAACACAAACAAGCCAGATATTTGGGCTAATCCAACCTGAGGAAGACCCAGAAATTCGTCCACAAATACAAACCTGTGCTACCAACCTGGAAGAGCCAACACTTACCTCTGACCGCTTCCATCGCTTCTCCACCTTTACCTCCTTGGTAAGAGCAGTTGCATTCCTTGTCCACGTGGCAAGATCCTACAAACACTAAGATCAAAACAACAAATGCAAAGGGTGGCACAGATGTAACTTACCTCGTGCACCAGATGAGATGGCCCAAGCGAGGAATGTTATCTTTAAGGCAACACAAAGGCTAGTCTTCACAAAAGAGCTGTCAGCACTCCAAACCAACAGAGCAATACCCAAAAGCAGCCCCTTGCAGAAACTCGGCCCAATCTTGGAGGACGATCTCATTTGCATAGGAGGCAGGCTGAAGCACTCTAACCTTGCAACTGTAGAGAAGAACCCAGTAATTCTGCCCAAAGACAACCACATCTCCCTACTGCTCACACGACATTACAGGTGAGACATCAGGGCCACCACCTGACAGAAGGAGCGATTAGGGCAGCAGGACTCTGGATCTTGGGAGGCAAGACATTTATTAATTCGGTATTCCACAAATGTGTACCTTGCCGCAAGTTGCGTGGAAAGCTGGAAGAACAGCGCATGGTGGATCTGCCACCCGAACGCCTCATAACCTGCCCTCCTTTTACGTATGTGGGGCTTGATGTATTTGGGCCCTGGTCCATCACAACTCGACGCATCAGAGGAGGACAGGCAGAGAGCAAGGCGGCCATTATGTTCAGCTGTATGAGTTCAAGAGCTGTACATATTGAGATTATTGAATCTTTGGACACTTCCAGTTGCATAAATGCTCTCAGGCGCTTATTTGCACTCAGAGGCCCTGCAAAACAGCTCCGTTCTGATTGTGGCACCAACTTTATTGGAGCGTGCAAGTAGCTAGGAATGTACAAAACGGTGCAGACGTACCTCAGTGAGCAGGGATGCAGCTGGGAATTCAACCCGCCAGATGCCTCTCATATGGGAGGTTCTTGGGAATGCATGATCGGCATTGCTAGAAGAATACTTGATTCAATGTTTTTTCAACAGAACACTCGCCTAACCCACGATGTGCTTTGCACACTAATGGCCGAGGTCACAGCAATCATGAATGCACGACCACTACTGCCTGTGTCAATGGACCCAGAAAAACCCTTCATACTCTCACGATCAATGCTCCTTACGCAGAAGACTGGAGTTCCACCTCCACCTGGAGACTTCACAGACAAGGACCTGTGCACAAAGCAGTGGAGACAATTTCAGGCTCTTGCAAACCAGTTCTGGGCTCGCTGGAGTCGTGAATACTTACCTTCCCTACAACACCGACAGAAGTGGACAATGCCACGTAGGAATCTTCAAGTTGGTGACATAGTTCTGCTCAGGGATAAGCAGACCATCCGGAACTGCTGGCCCATGGCCAGGATCACTGCCACATACCCTGGAAAGGATGGACATGTAAGGAAGGTTGAAGTGAAGACTACTGACCAAGGCAGTGTAAAAACCCTTCTTAAGCCAATTGCAGAAACTGTTCTGCTCTTGCCCAAAGACTGATCTGGACTCCTGCAAGTTCTTAGTGACCTCACATAGGTCAGATGGGGAGTGTGATGCCCTTAAGGCATTTAGTTAATCTCTTCTTTTTTCCTTTTTCTTTCTTGTATTTAAAGATTTGTTGTTGCTTATTTTTGTCTTAAGTAAGAAAAAAGTCGTAAGTTCATCTAGCATTAAATATATTACAGTTCATATATTAGCAATGGTGATATTAAAAACGTTGTTTGTTAAGTTAGTTAAGAAAAGAGAAAAAAACTTTGTTTATAGTTGTGTATAAGCTAATAGGTATATTAGCAGCCATGGTAACTTATACCTACTGTTCAGAACAGCAATGTTTTCCACTATGCACAATGTATAATTAAGACACTGAACAAGTTTTGTATTGTTTCTTACAGTTTTCACTTGCATGCTAATGAGAAAGAGTGACAGTAAATGGTCAACCTTACTATGACTCTGTCTTCATTGGATATGGTTTAGCTTGGTGTTTAGTCAGAGTTTCGACACACTGCACGAGAACACTACAGCTTCATATCTGAATATGTGGGGTTTGTAGTTTTTTATCTGAAGCTATTCAGAAGTTTCTCTGTTCTTGACTAGCATGTGAATTTTTTAGTGTGTTTTAGACAGAGAGAGTAATGTGTTCACTCATCTTCACATGCAGTTCAGGAAAACAAATGAATTACACATTCATACAACATGACATCATAACACTGACAACATTTGACATGTCACAGGATGTTATGAATGTCCTGTGAAATTTCTGTTTCAAAAATCATCTTATAGGAGAACTTGCGATGTTTGTGATTTATTGATTGAATGCTGTGTCTTTACATGGCATAGCAGGTCAAGACTCACACACTCTGGGAATGCTATCCTCTTAAGTGGTACCCTTTCCAGAGATCATTTTTTATGGCTGTCAGTGTGGAGTGGAGATAAGGCAGATCATTTCTAGGCACTTAGGATGTTTTTTAGTGTAATCTCAGCCTGGGAATCTCTTGCCTTTATGATCCCTTATCCATTAAAGCAGTAAACTTTGCAGAAGAGCTGACTTCCTTGATTCAGGATTTGTTTATGTTGACCTGATGAATACTCTGCAGAGGCTCTCTGGGCCCTGGTGCTGGATTCCAGAGGTCGCATACGGCCAGAAAGCTTACTATGCTTGTCTGTGGTCCCCAAACAGCACACAGCCTTCCTCAGTGTACCAGAATGTTTCTGTCTTCATGAGTGTGTGAGAGATAGAATCAGAGCTATTTATTGGTTTTATTAGTATTGATGACGCAGGTACTGGTTTTCCAGCTGGATTTTGCTTGGGTGTGGAGTCTGAGTGCGGACTGTGATAAGTGTATGTTCATGTCTGATCATTCTATCTTTTCTCTGTCTTCAGCATCTGAGCCTTTGAGCCTATCACACACACTGGCGGTTATGAGGAGAGGAGGAAGTCTTACAGAACAAACACACACAGCTGTTGTTGTTATGTAAAATTATGTAATGTTACTACATTATTGGTGGTTGTTCACATTTTCAGGTTAATGTTATGTACATTATTGGAAAATATAATATTTTTTTTACCGAGAGTGCTAAATGATTTCAGTCCGTATCATTGATATACCTTCATCTCCCAAAAGAACCACTGTTAGACTATTCTATATCATACCAGAACCGAAAATAACCACATCGTCCCTGCACTAGTGCCACAAGGACAGTATGACAAACTTCACGTTCCTATAAAAAGGTACAATGAAACATAGAGGGTGTGGCAAACTGTGACAATATAAAAAAATTTAAATGAAAGTTATGTCATCTGTTTTTTTTCTCATTTTTGTGAATTATGGGTGTTTGCTGTTTATTGTATAATCTATTCTTATGTGTCATTTGTCTACCTGTATTTTCCAGCCTGCACAAAACACATTTCATGGTGTCACAAATCTGACAGTATAAGGACCGAAATTAGTTAATTGTTCAATGTGAAAACACTCACTGCGCAATCAGCTTCAGCCCAAATGAGAAGTAGAGTGATCCTCGAGATCGGCTAGCTAATGATAGCTCTACAACAGCTATTCCTACCTCTTAAGCCATAGTTTTAGAGCTCCAGTCCTGAAGACCTCAACAGTTTAATGTTGTCCCTGCTCTACCACACCAGATCTAACTCATCAGCTAATTATCACATCCTTCCTGAGTTTGATTAGGTGTACTAGAGCAGGAGATACTTGAACCTGTGCAGGGCAGTGGTTCTCCAGGACTGGAGTTGAAAAGCCCTGGCCTTATCCACAGTGCCAGGGCTTCCTATTATCTTCTATTTGCATTATATCAATGTTGTGGGTTTTGCAATTTAATGTTATTATTGCTAGAACCTTTGACAAGAGTTTAGGGTAATCCGGATTTATTTGAAGTCTACAGACCAGGGCAAGAGAGAGAAACGCTCACACCAATTCAGTAAAAGGTGATTTATTCGCTGAAATATCAAACTATGTTTGTACTACTTTCAATGATAAACAGGAATAAAAAGAAAATAAAACAAATAACAAATAAAAATCAAAAGAAACAAATAGCTCAATTAAAGTGATTCACAGCTAAATAGTATGAGGAAGTGTGGTTCTTCAGAAGCAGCTCGAAACTTAGACGTGAAAGAGCCTCTAGAGAATTAACCTAAGTATGAATGGGAATAACTAGCTATATGGGTATATACCTATTAAAAGTTTTCTTATTAAATAAATTGGCACCAGAGCCCTGACTGCAAATTGAAGGAGCCAGCTTATGTTGGAGTGGAGAGAGTTGACTTCATGAGGGCTTGTCTCAGGAGGTGTCTCATGGATGCTTGAGGGTGGAGCTTGGACAGCCTTTTGATGGTCAGTCTGCTCACAGATTAGTGCGTCGCTCTGGGTGCAATGCCGGGTCTCCATGACATCAATTGTTCTTAACTCCACTGGCAAGGTTTAGATTGCAATCAGGGTTCTGCAGCTGGTGATACTAATCTAAATAAGTACCTCTTTTTGGCAGAGTCGAAAAATGTGAATGAATTATTCTTGGCCAGATTTAATTTGATGTAATTTGACAAGTTACAAAAACAGACAAAGCTTTCAGATCTGAAATTTTTGTGTTCTAATACTTCTGAAAAGAAAATACTTAAAACAAAGGAATAGAAACATTAGCATAAACCATCTAACATAAAATTTTCTTTGTTCAAACAGAGAAATCATCTATTTTTCACAAACAAAACACACCACAGGGGCATATAATAGGCTGTATGTTTCCAGAAATGTTGGATTTCAAGAGCTGATTCCACACAATAATCTCATTCTAAAAACAAATGCATAGAAAAGGTAATGAAGAGCTAATTCTGTCTAGCTAAATTAACTTAGCTGACTAACACAGGCTGGCTAACATACCCAGCCATCACCATGTCTTGAGATGTCTTAAGACATGTCTAAAGACACATTATGAAGACGTCTTAGGACATCTTGAGGCATGTCTTAAGACATGAAGACATGTCTTTAAGACGTGTCTATAGACACGGATCTTAAGATGTCTTGGCAATAATAACATCGCAAGACGTCTCAAGATGTAGGATGTATAATACGTATTTTTAAATTTTACCTACATTTTTTTAAATAAATCTTTTACTTTTAAATATTTTAAGGGAATTTTAAAATGTAACATTATTTATAGCTAAAATTATAGTAATTTTTTTTTTAATTTTTTTGTTCTATGTAGGATGTATAATGGTATCATTTATTTTAATATATTGCATATCATTGTATAAACATACAAACATTACATACATTAGTACATACTACATTTATACATTTCAGAACAAATTTAACAACAGAAGTAATAATAATAATAATAATAATAATAGGCACATGGTTCCCAGTCTGTAGCTTTCTCTACAATAAGCCATTTTATATGAAACCACTAAATGATTTTGTTTACATCGCAATGACAGAATTATGCCAAGTTTAGAAAAATGTGGAGTTCTCCTTTAAATGTTTCTGTTGCATTAGAAAAGTTTATGGAATCAGTGATATGATGAAAGTTTATTTGTGAGTTCATACCATGCCTTCAACATGGTGGTAGTATGAGGGAAGACTCTTATGCAACTATTTTGTAATACAGTGTTGCAGCAAAATTTAAAAATTTAATTCAGTGCTTTTAAATACCTTTTTATAGTAATTAACCCTTAATGTTTTAACAATGTGGTAAAATGTGTTAAATACATTTTTTTACAGACTATTTTACAGTTGCTTCAATTTTTAATGAAGGTATCATTTTATCAACTTTTAAAATAATAATAAGGAGAACAAGAACAATAATAAGTATGCATAAATTACAGTAAAGTAATTTAAAGGGGTATGGAAAATCACTATTTTACAGTTTTGTATTTCCTTGTTAATCTGTTAAAAATTCAGAATACTTCTACATTCAAATAATTTACTCTGCAATCCAAAGCATAGCCCATGAAAAAGCACCCACATAGCTTTCAAAAAATATAATTACAGTTATTGTTTATTGTTTTTACAACTGTGTATATGCACAGTACAATAGCGTCATCACACTTGATATGTTCTACAGAAAGAGAAAAACATGTTAACTGACTTTATGTAGAAATTTGAAATATACTGCAATAAATACACAGTTCCACAAACCAATGAATCTGATTTTAAGGTCTGTTGTTATTCCGTATATAATATTAGCAATATAGAACTATGAGCAATTATAAATGATAGGAAACAATTTTAAGACAAATTAATATGGACTAAAAAGAAAAACTGACCAACAGAGTAATACAGAGGTCTGAACCCCAGCAGTACTCATAACATACCTGAGCCAGATAATGATCAGCTGTCAAACAATTAATACCAGACTCAGATGTGCTGGTAGCTGGAATAGAGTCAAGCTGTGGACATATGTGGACACAGGAAACAGGACACAGATAACTCAGTGTGCATATGTCCATGCCGTAATGCCTGAACACTAACATTACTGATATCACACTGCTAATGTTACCGATCTCTCCTTTCAGAGTTAAATCCGTGATGAGTGAGAGAACTGTCAGATTCACAGCCCAGCGCTTCTTCCTCTGTTTTTTCTCAGTGTTGGTCTTCTTTGTCAGAGATATGAGGAAAATGCATCTGTTAAAAAATCAATTTTAAGACAATAAATTTGAAATTACTTTTGGATCTGCATACACAAGCAGGCTGAATTTGAAGGGGACCTGTTATGCTAATTTCCAATGTTCATAAATTTATTTTTGGGGTCTACTATAATACATTTACATGCTTCAGTGTTCCAGAAACACATTATTTTTGTCATACTGTAATTGTTTACTCACCCTCTGTCTGAAACGCTCTGTTAGAGCTCCAGTGTCTTTAAGCCCCTCCTTCCTGATGAGCCCAGTATGCTCAGATTAGTTAGCTCGCTCACTTGGCTCTGACTGATCAAGCACCAGAGCGGTTCCGCCAATACACAGGCTCCGGTAGATGCGTTGCATTGTGTGAGGGCGTGCCAAGCTCGCTGGTAAGTGGGCAATAAGGATTGTGTTATGGGATTACATCATCTTGTAACAAAGGAAAAGGGCTGGGGAACTCCAGCCCTCAGGCAGCTGAGAAAAGTGGTTTCTGTGGGAAAGAATTTCTCCCTCTGGCATATACTTTCAGCTTTGTATCTTACATGCACAAAAAGCTACATAACACAGTAAATAAAAGGGAAAGCATTATATATTCCCTTTATAAGTAGAATATAATGTACAGTATACATAATTTTACTCATCTAAAATCAACTCAGGCATTTAGTACACAAAGAAATGTGACAAGGCTTTAAATAATACCTATGCATGAACTCCAGTGTGGCACCCAGCTCACACGCATAGCTGATGTTCAGACAATGATGTTCAGTGTAATGAAAGAAGCATCAGGATGAGGCCACTTGGGTAAGAGCACAGTTGAGTGTTGAGAATGATATGGACTGCCACCATACTGGATGAGGCCCAAAGAGAGAATGTTCCTTGGGAAGGATTGAAAACAACAAAGTTGATTAGATAATTCACAATTCTATTGTTTTCATCCTCTAACATGCCTCAGTCAACACGTGACAGAAATGATCATTTGCTATTGAGGCAGGTGTGAGCTTAGTACTGATATCTGTATCTGTTAAAAGCTGTGTTAAAGGAGAATTACATGATTTTTAAGCACGATTTCATCATTAAGATGCAAAAAAATAGTTTGATACAAAATGTTCCACTGTGGAAAAACTTACAGAGTCAGAGTTGTTCATAGTGGCAGTGACAAGAACCAGACGTTTGAAGAGTTCAATGCCTCTAATGTCTCTCACAGAGAATTAATACATGAAATGATTATTAATAAGAGCTGAACTCTATTAGATCATGTTTACCACATGCTTTATGCTATAAATTGTAGGGCTCTGAGACTTGCAGTATTACACATTAAAGCACTGTGAAGAAGTAAATTCATAAATATTGACACAGTGTTGGTGATATTGCCATATCGATATTTTGAACACAGCTGTAATGGCAAATAACATTAATAAATTGAATGAACAAAGCGCAGATATTTGAGTACTCTAACCGAGCTTTACCTAAACATTCTGCTCTTCTGTATTACCATAAATACTTCATGAATTATATTTGTTTGAAATACCCACCGAATCTAAACATCTGTCTGACATTCTTATAGTTTCATTTAAAAAATTAAAACTTGAGTCTCACCAGTTGCTCAGCTTCAGATGATTTCTGATGAGAAACATCTAAAACAAAACAGACACATGAGGTAAATGCAGCAAAACAACAACAGTAAGGCATAACAATGAAAAACACAAAACAAACTGGTCATTATATATTACTAATAAATGTAGCCGAGTAAAACATAGACTATTAATCTAAAGCACAGATAATACATTTTAAAAATACTCTAGAAAGTACAAATCCACCAAGACGTTACTAGAGTAAATGTAACTGAGCAAATTAAAATTATTACTACCCTCTCTGAACCACACAGACTGACGGACTATGTTCAGTTTCATTGTTTGTTCAGTGTGCTGACCCTGCTGCGCTGCGATCAGTGCGCTGACCCTGCTGCACTGTGTTCAGTCTTAGGTTTATTTCTGAGGCAGTCTTTCATTTGGAGCGCGTGCTAAGCGAGATCTGACGCAGCCGCGAGGCGTAAACAGACACGCCGCTTAGCCGCCAGCTAGCTAACTACATACGCTAACCTACCGCTGGTGTCTTCACTCGGCAGATCAACCCAGAAATACAGAAACAAAAGTTTACTCCAGCTGACTGTCAGTGAGGCTGCTCATCTCATTTAGTCACTACTCACCTTTTAAAAGCAGACTCTGACCGCTGCAGTCGGGACTCCAGTCGTAAAACCAGTCTCCACTCCACTCGGTCCAGTCAGTAGTTATCGTTAGTCAGCTACGCAGCTGAAAATCCTCGTTTCTGGGAGCTGAAAGCGTCACCCGGCAGGCGGCGCTGTCTCAGTAAGGAGTGTAAGAGAGTCTTATCAGGTTTAACACTCGCTAAACAAACTCGATAAACTGCCCGCGGTAGCGACCTGAGAGACTCGCTCACTGTAACGGCTGTAACGGTCGCGCTCGGCTTTAAACGGAGGAACGGCGGAGAGCGCTCGCACTTCAAAACCGAACGTCCAAGCGGCGGAGTCCCGCGCTCTGATTGGTCTAAACTCCCGCCAGTCTTTTGTTTGTCCTCCCATAGATCTTTTTTTTTTGGTTCGCGCCTCTGCTGTACTGAGTGAACTGTGCTGCTTTGTTTTTGTTTGTTTGTTTTTTTAATCTAGACACAGAATAGAAAACTGCAAACCCTTGAAATATATAAGACAGCTGTGCAGCATTATCATACAGCATCACTGGAGGCCATGTCTTAATATATTAAAGTCAAAGTATGAAGTTGGACATTTAAACAAAAATCTGTTTATGTAATTTTACGTGGTGAAACAATATAGGTCTTTATATATTACTACTCAAATACATTTGTTTATTATTGTTCGTGTTTTCCAAATACTGGAGATAATAATTTTGAAAGTTATACAAATTAAAAGTCTAACTTTGGGCAGCCCTGATCTGCTTAAGAAAATAAACAGAAGCGTAGATGTTGAAGAGAGTGAACCAAGGGCTTTTTTTGCATTAAGTTTTGGTGGTATGTGATCTCTAAAGTACCCAGGTTAGCTGTTAAGTACATTTACTTCCTATTAGTTCAAAGTTGTTTTATCTTGGTTCCTAGCTTGTTGTCTCTGGTTACAATTGTACATTTGCAAATAGATCAATGTTGTTTTAATCATAGCATGTTTTCTGCAAATGAGCAAAAGGCTGTGACTGACTGTGATTATCTCCTTTGGTAAATGTTACAAATTAAAAGTTATTCTACCATGAACTTCAATGATATAAGGAAATGAGTTTAAACATTTTAAGGTAAGGTTAATGGTTTAAGAATTGATTTTTTCTTTTGCTATTTTGCCACTGTAAACACATTTCTGCAATAATCAAAAAACAAAACATACAGAATCACAAAAGTACAGCAAGTAAAACCTTAGTGAATGTTCTTTTAGTAATATCACACAAAAACCATAAGATTACAGCAGGCTGTTTCTTGAGGACATACTTATATTCTCTCTTATATAGTTATATTCTCATTATATTGTACACTAGGCAGTGCTGTAGTAATCCTGGTAATCCTCAGTAGTAATTTTCAGTTTGGCAGTACCACAGGAATACCACACTCATACCACAGGACCTTTTGTAATGGACCACTCTTTGGTCTCAACTAAACTGTCTTAAGACACAACATCTCTATGTCTTAAGACAAACTGATGTCTTAAGTCATGCCTCGTCTTCAAGACACACAAAATAATTACTTCTTTGTCTTAAGACGTTAACTTTCATGTCTCAAGACAAAGAGAGTGTCTTCACTCATACGTCAAGACGTTCTTGAGACGTCTTGGCATAAAATGTCTAAAGACATCTTATAAATACTGTCAAGACATCTTAAGACATCTTAAGACACAGTGACAGCTGAGTATGAAGCTGTATGTAATTCCCTCGTAGCACAGGCAGACACAAGTGGTTCTCTTGCTACTGGTTTATTTGAAGGCTTTTCTCCAAATCCACTGTGAAAACTAAACACAGTATTGACATGAAAATATAGACCATGTTAGCTTAACATAAACAATAGCATGGACAGCATGTGAAATAACATTTTAAAGTAAAATACGGACAAACAAACAAATACCTCATTGGCTGTATGCTACAAAAAGGAAATAGGCTTAGAGTCTTCAGAAGTTCCCTTTTAACTGTTCACATCAAATTAAAGTCCATTGTGACTATAAACTTTCACTGGAGCTTATAAGAAGTCATGCTTGCTGCTAACTTGGAGGTATTGGAGTATTGGAGTCTTACTAGCACGAGAGCTGCACAGCAAGGCTTGAACATAACTCTGAGGTTAGACTTGTGCTAAATGAAATAATGTATAATAATGAAACTTAAATGAATTCTCAATTGTGACACTGCTCTTAGAAAGGGTGAACAAATTATATAAATTACATTAACAATATAATTGCAACAGTTACACTGTATCTCATTGGGGTTTTTTTTAATCCCTTTAGGTGGGTAGATGTTTTTGCACTGGCACACTTGTTGTAAGCTAATTTTTTTAGTGACACTTTATTTTGACACTCAAACTCTCAGTAATGCCAAAAATCAGAATTAGGTTTTGGGTTGAGGTTAGGATTAGGGTCAGGGTGAGGGTTAGAATTAGGGTCAGGGTTAATTATCCTTAATATATTTAATAATATGTCACACTTGTTTTGTTTTGTTTATGTGTTAATGACTCAATCTGCATACCATATTACACTTGCTCATTTGTATTTTGATACCTTGTAAAAATCAATAAATGACTGAAAGAAAAAAAGAAAAACAAAACATGGGATTTGCTGCACTGCAGCCTTTCATATCCAACAAAACAGAGCTTGGTAAGTTAACTAAATGTGTTGGTTAGCATTATGAACTAGAGTTCATGAGTGATTGCACCGCATAAGCTAGCAAAGATGTTGCTATGCTGTTGCTATGGTATCTCAGGTGGTTAGTAAGCTGGTAATAGATGGTTGCTATGGTATGCTAGATGGTTGCTAGTTGGTTGCTATGGAATTCCAGATGGCTGTTAAGGTGTTGCTAGATGGTTACTAGGTTATTTCAAGTTGTTGCTAAGGTGTTGCTAGGTGTTAGCTACGGTATCCTAGGGGGTTGCTAGGCTGTTGCTATGGTACACCATTCCCAATCAGACCGAACACTCTGGAGTCAGTAAAGTGTCGATATCTGTGGGATGAGTTAGCAGACAAAAATCTGTGAGAAAAAGATAAAGAAAAAGAAGAAGGAGGAGGTTTACAACATACAGCATCAAACTGAGGTCAAAACAGCCACACAGCAGAAGCACACACAAACACACACAGCAGTAGAGGAAACTGGCTACAACGTAAACACAGGGGTGTCCTGCTTCTGCTAAAGCTCAGCAGCCCAGTTACTGTCAGCTCTCAGTCCAGTCCAGCACAGTGGACAGAGCAAAGCTCTCTACTGCACAGCTCCTGGACTAGACCACAGCACTCAAATGGCTGGGAAGACTGCTAGTGTGGATGTTGTTTTGGCTGTAAGTGCTGCTGGAGGGAGAGACTTACTGTGTTTTTCTGGGAGCAGATATGCTGATGTGTCTCCCTCCAGTGGTCAGAGTGTGTCATAAAGTGCAGAGTAAAAATAAGGGGGGTCACAGAGGTTTGTGGAGGTCAGTAGTGGAGACTATTGCAGGGAGCTACTTCAGCTCAGCCAGGCTTGTCTAATTCTAGAGAGATTAGAAGTGAAATATTCCCTTTAATGTCCAGCAGAGGGCGATCTCTTATTGTGCAGTTCTAACTGTCTCTGCCTTTCATTTGAGGTTTTCTGCAGCTACGACTGCCACCTAGTCTGTCTGTATCAGGAGGACTTTTTGGTGGAGGAAACACAATGAAAACAGTAAGAATCTTTTAATCTAATAGTTTTATAAATATTCTTAGTCATATTATTTGAATGTATTCTTTTTATTTTGTTTTTCTGTTTCACTATTCAGTTTGGAAGTTAAACATTTTTCCATGAAACCTTTTGTTTTAATAAGGTTTACATTAATCAGTGTCATTAAATCCGATAAAATATACCGTTTTAAATGTATATATTCAGCCTTTATGAAGACTGTTTGTCTGTTTTGGAAATTCAAAAGAACCAAATGTGTCCTTGGCTTAGATAATTCAATGCTTAAAAAAATAATCATTGTTGGTAATAAAAGGCAGAACGTGTGTAGATCTACAGTGTGTAGTTTATTCCATTATTACATGATTGTAGAATCCATTAATATTGTATTATAGGTCAGAAATACGTGGAGTACATGGAGACTGCAGCTCCATTCATCTATTAATTATTTATTGTTTTGGAGGAAATAAAATCATGTTCCATTTAGAATTTCACATCACAGGATGTGCAGAATGTCAGAGTTTTACTGAGTGAAATTCAGTAATATTTTCTAATAAAAATGTAAATGAAGTGCAGCTATGAATGTGATTGTAAATATGAGTTTGTGTGTGAAACGGTTGAGTTTAAGGTTGTAATTAGGTTGTGTTAGCCAGAGCCCCGGGCTTCTGCAGAAGGACGACGGCCTCTACAGCTGGAGCAGCACCCTGACCCTCTAGGAGGACCAGTGGCTAAGACAGAAGACAGTGACCTGTGAGGCCACCAAGGACTCCCAGCTTCCTGTCAGCAAAACACTGAGGAGAGAGCAATGCACTGGGCAGTGAGCGTCCACGCGTGTGTTGGAGCTGTTAGAGCTCCTCTTGATCTTCAGTGAGCTCAAACATGGCTCTGCTTAATGCTCTGATCTTCATCTCATCACTTCATCATCACAATAAAGAGTTTCAGCATAAATATCTACAGTCTTTCACTGATTATTTTCTTTTTCCTGAAAATAGTAACAATAAACATGTAAACAATTTATTCTTCTTGTAAAAATAAAGCATTTTTATCTGAATAACTGCAAGTCAAGGCAAGTTTAGTTATATAGCACATTTAATACACTGCTGTCATTCAAGGTGCTTTACAAAAAGGAAAATACAGAGTAATTTTAAAAAGTAAAGGATAATAGAAAAAAGGAATATGATTAAAGCATGATTAAAAGTGAAAATCACTAAATGAAAAATCAAATAAGAAATTAAAATAGGATAATTAAAAATCAACCTAAAAAATAAAAGTTAAACCAGGATTAATATGTGCCTTTACAGAGGAGAAGGGCTAGAAATGCTAACAGTGTTTAAACTGAGCTGAAAGCTGCCCAAATAGGAACATTTTGAGCCTGAGTTAAAGTATCCAGTGTCGGGGCTCCTCTAATGAACTCTAACACGGAGGTCACTACAAGTAGTGTCAGAATAACTGGTTCTATGCAATTTAGATTATTGTGCTGCAATCTGGTCAAATGCAGAAAAACAAATTGACGAAACTGCAAATAATGCAAAGTAAGGCAGCAAGAATTAAATTACAATGTCCATATAGAACCAACATTAATAAAATGCATCATAAACGTGAATTGTTAAAGGCTGAAGACAGGTGGAAGATGATTCTTACTCGAAAATACTTATAAACAAAAATATTCAGCAGATCTCTTTGATCAACTTAAGCAAGTAAAAGATAGAGAAACTAATATAACAAGATATACAACAAAAATTATTTTAAATTACCCAGAGCAAAAACTAACTATATATGTCGAACAGTAATCTATAGAGCCATAAAGGAGTGGAATTCCCTACTGGTCTCACTGCTTAAAATTGAGGGTAAGATAATGTTTATATAACTGATAAAAAAACACTGTTTAACAAATTTAGAGATCGGTTGATCTCTAGATAGGTCCTTGACAGCTGGAACAACACTATGGTGGAGTGGGCAGATATTTACCAGAATATAGTCAACTAAAGTTTTTGTAAAAATACACATAATATTTTCTTTCAGTGTGATTTTTCAGTTTTCAATCATCTTTCATGTTATGTTATGGTTACCTTGTCTACTTTTTATTTTTTAGTTTCCTTTTTTTGTTTTCTCTCAGTCCTTTTTTGTTTTACTTGATTTTTTCCTCTTATGTTTTGTATGACTTGTTTTGTTAATTGTTATCGCACTATTTTTGTTATGTATGATATGTCTACCTCCACCTTTCACGTCAGCATGTGAGACATTCATACATTAAAGTTTGGTGGTGCCAACTTGATTAATACGGTTTCAGCCCTACATTTCATATAACCCTGTTTCTGTTAAAAGTATAAAATCATGGGCTGTAATAAAATCATTAATCAAATAGGGCTTGTATGTGAAAAATATATTCCTAATTTGTTTATTAAAAGTATTTCATATCAGGTAATGTAAAATAACTGCTGTGTTCAGGATCTGTCACTTTTTCAGCTGCTTTAGAACTGGATAAACTTGACAAATTAGTTCTGAGATTTAAAATCAGGTTCCATGAATTTAGGGGTCAATTCTCAAATCTATGAAAGGTATTTGAAACTATGGCTTGGATCTTGACTGGCTTAGATCTTAACTATAACCGACATAACATACCAGACATTTGAATCTAGATTCTTTGTGGAATCAAGCTTTCCCCTCTGAGTAAACAGCACAAAGCTGATGGTACAACAAGCCAGCTAGCCCCAATACCACTTATTAACATTTTTGAATATTCTGAAATTCTTGTACCTCCTTAAATGATCACAAATACGGCAAGCATGCTCGTGACCCAAAGTGTTCTGCACAACAAAGTCTTTTCTCCAAGCAAAGTACTTTTCATACATCTCCTGGTTCTGGTCCAGAAGTTTGAGATGTTCTGCCAGTTCTTGTGGTGTTTTGAAATCATCCACATGAATGAAGGAATCTTTTGGTATAAATTCCTCATAGTTCTCCCTGGATGGACCGAGAACCACAGGAACTGTGCCAAGTCTCATTGGGCTGAAGAGCTTCTCTGTGATGTAGTCTTTAAAGATGGAGTTCTCAAACGATAGGTAGAACTTGCAGCTTGAAACAATTGGACCGTAATCTTCACCGTTTATATATCTCCCAAAATGCCGTCCATAAGTCTCAACTTTGATGTGTTGGCTCAGTTCGTTGAAGTAACCCACTCGTCTATAGTTGTTGTTCCAGTTGCTGACAATCCAGCAGACTAATTTGTCTTTTTTTGGGATTTTAAAGGGTTCGTCCTTCTCAGAGATTTCTTTGATTCGTCCATAAGGCACCCAGATGTCTGAATCTCTCCTATAGTTTGATGTCAGGTTGAATAAGTCATCTCCTCCAGGCAGCTGTGGTGAGTTAGCTGGAGACTCCATGTTCATCCATACCCATTTCTGCCGTGGAGGTCGAGATAATGTCAACAGGTCCTGTACCTCACCTCCGATGTCTCTAAGATGGAACATTACCCCATGTGCTTTGTCAAATTGATTTCTGTCAGCTGTTAGATGGCAACCTTTGATACCGTAATCTGACTCACAGGATTCCAATTCAAAGTGGTATCCAAATGGCCACTTCCAGATTAAGACAACTATCTCAGATTTGTGGGGGGTTGCAGCATCCTCCTTTTCCAAACTTGGTGATTGACTGGCTGGTGTCTTTTCCTGGACTGAAGTGCAATTAGTAATAATTTGAGTTTGGTTCTCCACCTTAACAGCATGGAGGCATGCCTCTGTACAGATGTCGTCTTTGGATAGTGGAGTTTCAGAGCATGGCAGCCAGCTCACAGTTGGCTTGTAATAAATATAGAATATAATTGCAGAGCACAGCAGCAGAAGGCTGCCTATTACTAAGTTTCGAAGGTGTCCAGTGGAGGTTTTTGACGTCATTTCTTGGCCTTCAGGGAAGAGAGAAATAAGACACATGAGTTTGACCAACATGTCTATTGTTTCCAGTGTTCATTACTGAGTGTCCATTTACTACCTGTACATGTGTACCTGTTCATACGTTGCAGGTATAAGCATAGCCAGAAAAAAAATTACAGATTTTTTTAGTAATCAGTGAAAAACAGGTCAAATTCGAGATCTTAGCAAGAGATGTAAGCACACATGCAACAAGCTACAAATGTACAACCCCATTTCCAAAAGGTTGGGATGCTGTGCAGAATGTAAATAAAAATAGAATGCAATGATATGCAAATCATTAAACTAAAATACTGCAAAGATAACAAATCAAATGTTGAAACTGAGAAATTTTATTGTTTTTTGAAAAATATATGCCCATGTTGAATTTGATGCCAACAACATGTTCCAAAAAAGTAGGGACGGGGGCATGTTTACCACTGTGTTCCATCACCTCTTCTCTGTCAGCGTTTGGGAACTGAGGAGAATGACTGCTGTAGTTTTAAAAGGGAGATGTTTTCCTGTTCATGTGACAGGTCTGGACGGCAGGCAGGATAGATTAACACCTGGATGCTTTTACTACAGAGCCATGCTGCTGTTCTAAAAAGGCGATGTCTGGATGGCAGCATATGTTGCCAAAACATGTATATATCGTTCAGCATTAATGGTGCCTTTAAAGATGTGCATGTCACCCATGCCATGTGCACTAATGCCCCCCTATACCGTCATGAATACTGGCTTTTGAACTGTGCACTGATAACAAGCTGAGTGGTCTTTAGCCCAGAGGACACAGTGTCCATGACTTCCAAAAAGAATTTCAAATGTTGACCTGTTGGACCACAGGACACTTTCTGCTTCTCCTCAGTCCATTTTTAATGAGCTTGGGCCCAGAGAAGGTGGCAGTGTTTCTGGGTCCTGTTTAGATATGATTTCTTCCTTTAACTTGCATTTAAGGATGCAGTGATGAACTGTGTTCATAGACAGTTTTTTCAGAAGTGTTTCTGAGCCCATGCAGTGATTTCCACCACAGAATCATGTCTGTTTTTAATGCAGTGCCGCCTGAGGGCCCAAAGATCAGGCCAGCCAGTATTGGTTTTCAGCCCTGGCCCTTTGCATACAGAGATTTCTCCAGATTCTCTGATTCTTTTAATGTTATTATGTACCGTAGATGATAAAAAGCAAAAGTTCTTTGCTATTTTATGTTGAGAAACGTTATTCTTGAATTGTTGCACTATTTGATCGAGCTGTCTTTCACAGAGTGGAGAACCCCTCCTCATCATTACTTCTGAAAGACTCAGCCTCTCTGAGATGCTCATTTTATACCCAATCATGTTACTGACCTGTTGCCAATTACCCACCAGGTGTTTTTTTAGCATTACACAACTTTACCAGCCTTTTGTTGCCCCCGTCCCAACTTTTTTGGAACGTGTTGTTAGCGTCAAATTCAAAATGGGCATATATTTAAAAAAAAAAACAACATAATCTCTCAGTTTTAACATTTGATTTGTTGTCTTTGTACTATTTTCAATGAAATATAGGGTTTAAATGATTTGTACATCATTGCATTTTGATTTTATTTACATTTTGCACAGCATCCCAACTTTTTTGGAAATGGGGTTGTAAGAATGTAATTTTTCCTAAAGTAAACTATGAGCCTGAGGAATGAAACCCGCCTTGAACCTGGCCAGTATCATCTTCTGAGTGATTTGCCAATAATAGTTAGTTTTAGTTAGCTTTCTTTTGAAACTGATTACTTTTATATAAATATTATTTAATTAACTACACTGTGAGCCATGCCCAGTGACACCTTGTGAAGGTCTGGTTAAAATTGGACTACACTGAAAGTCGAATGAGAGTTAGCTTTGGAATCAGTGGAGGAGTTAGCTGCCCCATGCAAACATGTGCTATTTAACTGTTTACCTGCAAACATCAACTACTCAGTGTAACTGAGTATTCTTTATATCCATGCCCAGCATTATCTTGTTTGTTTTTGATCATTATGATCACAAATTATGTGTGGTATGTAACTGAAAACATCAACTGTTCTGTACAACTGAGTATTCTTTCTGTATTACTATTATGTGCCCAGCGTCATCTTGTTATGGTTTGATCAAAGATAGCTTGTTTCTGAAAGCAGAATGAGAGTTAGCTGTGAAGTTAACTTTAGCTGTAAAGCATACTGACCTTTGCAAATGTGTACCAGTAAACCAAGCCACTTAAAATGGAACCAATCAGTCCCAAACCCTGACTCTTCTGGAAGTTAATTCTCTGTAAGTTAATAAAAAAAACTACACAGACAACATCTGAATGCAACTAGCTGTTAGCTAGAGATGCAACAATCCTGTTTTTTCTCTTCAGATACAGATTCAGATACCTGAACTCTGACTATTGGCTGATTGGCTTTATCTGTATACCTCACTGTGTCTAACATGAGGCTGAAAGAATAATATAATGAAAACTCATTAAATTCATATTGTTGAATTAATATATGTATATATACTGATTAGTATATATAATAATTAATATCACCTTTATTGAAAAAATAAAACATAAATAAAAATTCATCATCTGTTATTCTTTTAAAAAACGTCTTAAATGCAAAATTATTGCAAAAGGATATAAAGCATTTTGGAATGAAACTCTATTCCAATTTATTTGCTATTTATGCTGCATGTTTCTTTTCTGTCAGAATATGTGTAACCCAATCCAAGCATTTATGATGGAGTCAATAAGAGTTTATGTCTCAGTTGAGTCAGTAAGCCAGTAAAATATTTAACATTTAAAAATCTCATTATTTGAATCAGAATTAGCATTTGTGCAGTATCTTTCTATTTGTTTGGATTAACACTCAGAATAAATACAGATAACATTAATACAGTAAGCAGTGTTTTACATGTGTTAATGTGTTTGTTTATCTATTTCCTGCCATGTCCTGAGGAAGCCCAGCATTAACTGCAGTTAATCAATACCCACTTTATTTAATCAATACTTCTTTATGTTTATTTTGCGAGCTGCTGATTGAATTGAATATGTCCGTATTGATGCTGGAGGAGAAATCTGGAACCAAAGCTGTGTTCTTTAAACCAGCTCACAAGAAAAAGACTTGTTGCTGTTTACTATATTTATGCTTTTTTGTATTCATTCTGATGATATACAATGTTTTCATTACTGTTTGTCCCCACATGCCCAGTACAGGTGCTGACAGCAAGAGCTTGTTTATACCATACAGAAGGAGGTGACACATCATTTTTCCACATTGTGCTATGTTACATTAGCGTTCAAATGTTTGGAATCACTTGTATTAACACATTTATTTAATTTTGGTTTGGTAATTTAAGTTATAAAGTGTAGACACCGAAACCTAACCCTGTTTAAAGTATTTAGAGGTCAACAAGAAGTTCTGATGATGAAAAAAAGGTATGTTATGAAATTAAAAAAATGAAATATTTGTTTATAGTAGTTTACCCATATGGAAAAAATATGTTCCAAATGTATTTGTCAAATATATTTTTGCAATGTAGGAAAATGTAAAAATGTATTCGTTAAATATATTTGTTAAATTGGATTTATTTGGTTTGTTATTATATATGTTCAGTGTATGTAGTTGTAATAAAGGTTTCAGATGTAACTAAACTCTACTGTCTTCTGTGATCTGCACTGTACTTTACATTAACCATGTACGTCTGCAGTGAGACTCACACACAATGTATTTCACATAAACAAGATATCAGATCATAACTGCATTTTCACAGAGTATCAATACCTACAACACTCGCTTCTGTCCTGTTAAAGGATCATTTGATCAGATTTAAAATGAAGATACTGGAACACAAATTCATTTCTACAAAACAGTAAACAGTGCATTAAACAGGATTTCAGCTGTTTTCTTACCTTTTCAAATGTATATGATATATTTATTTGTATATGGTACATTTCTATAGGTAAATAAATGTGTTTTAAAATATATTTGATTAATATGGCAATATATTTTAAAATACATTTTAGTGTTCGGAATGTATTTCAGCATGAACTTCAATGCATTTGAAATGTATTTCAAGTATATAAAATACATGTCCGTATATATTTGTTTTCCATATGGGTATTTTTGTAAATAGCTGTTTGATCAGCGAGAGGTTTTCAAATATGATGTATTGTTGATATTAATTTAATTCTATAGAATCATAACTTATACACAGGGCTGGATTATTAAGTGGTTCTGGGCATCTGGCCTAAAAACAGGAATGATTTTTGAATGATTTGCCCAAAACAATTCCTTGCCAAGTGAACTTTATTATAGTCATCTATTTTGCATACTTTCTACAGCTCTTCTAGTAAAAGTGTTGATTCATTCTCCTTTATTTGCTGTTTTAAAGAAGCTCTATGTAACATCTTTTGTTAAAACTGAAAGAAGTAGCATCACTGAGTATGAAGAAAAATGAATATGTAGACATATGGCTCTATTTCGCAGCTAGATGGTTCTATATAGCACCAAAAAGAGTTTTGCAATTGTGATACAATAGCAGAACCCTCTTTGGTGCTATATAGAGCCATATACAATGCATTCTCTATCAATCTGAACATTTTACCATGCAAAGAACTATTTAAGCATGCAAATGGTTCTTTGAGTGTTCATGGTTCTATGTAGAACCACTGTTTTTACTAAGAAAGATTGTACGTTTGAAACACAACAATATCTTCTGATATGTTGAGGCAATTTGATACACTTATTAAAATAATAAAAGAACAAAAAAAACTCACCAAAATCCTAAGTGGTGGCCTTTTTTTGACTTTTGGACGTGGATGCTGTCCAGAGCTCCTTCACAGGTGCTTTGAAATGGATCAGCAAAGTATGTCAAGTGGAAAAAAAGGGGAAACAGGCGTGCACCTGTGTGACAACTCACTGAGAAACAAAAGAAAACAAGACGGACCAGGTAGATAACGCTACCTGCCAAACCAGCCAGGCTGGAATGAGAAGAAGTCCAGGAAGTCCGGCAGAGCGTGCAGTTTCCTCCAACGCATGATTCAGCCCAACCAAGACTTCAGTGTAATTTAAGGTTCAGGTGAGCAACAACAAGCAACTCATCAAACAGCTGAAAGGTTTATTAAGAGGCACTGACGGCCTGTGAATGACCCGGGTTCGTCCATCCAAGCACCTCTGAAATTCACAAACCACACCTACCCATCTCTCTCTGTAAGGGGTGGGGTCAAAAACCTGACCAATCACTTAGCCCCACCCAGCCAGAGTCACTCAGTCTCAGACCAGAGTATCACAACTCTTATTCAGGAAGCTGCAGTCTCTGCAGTTGGGTCAGTCAGTGTTAAACAGCTGTGTGAGCTCTTCATCACCACAACATCTGCAGAATTTCTCTCACATTGTTTATTCTGTATGTTTCACTGTAATCACAACATATTAGGTGTGAGGAAAAGATCATATCAAGCTGATGGGTATACATTTTTTATGTTTTTATATACACTTTTCTAAACATTTAATATTTTCCTAAACCTTTGACAAGGAAATGAAATATGTATAAGGACAGTGTGTAGACTGATCATAAAAACAGAAAGCTGTGAACAGTAAATTCAGTTTGATATTAATATTATACTGAAAATTCTACCAGAACACCATATTTGCTGTTTTACTTTATAAATCTTCCAAATATTCCAAATTTAATGTCTGGAAAGACAGGAGGGGGGAAAGGGGGGTAATTTGCTGAAGTGTTTCAAAAGGACATTTTGTGGGGGCACTTCATATCATTATAGTTCATATCATTATAGTATCATACATAAATATATTATTTTCTGTTTCTTTACATTATTACCATACATGTTAATAACATACATTCTCTTCATTTACATTATTAGCATACACATTTACATTATACACTCTGTTTATTCAAATTATTACCATACACATTTATGTTAAACATTGTGTTTATTTACAATATACATAATGTACATTTGTATTATTGTCATATACAGTAAGGTTATACATTTTGTATTACTTTATTATTACATATATACAACAAAGCCACTGTCCTTCCCTTGTCTATCATTCTGGATGCACCGGATTAAGTGTGGCTCTCCACAATGCAGTAGGCATTGAGGAATGTGTTTGAGCATACTTAAAGATCTGACAGACTGAGTTCTGTGTTTTCAGAGCAGTGAAACTCCAGACTTCTGTTTTTCTTGCCTACCTTCCTTTGTCCTTCACGTGAGCAGTCCAGTTCCATTGAAGTGGCCTGCGTTAACAAACGCACATGATTTAACAAGGTTTCCTGCACAGCAGCCAGTTAAACACAGATGAGTTTTACCTGTTTTGCCTATTCCTCTTCATCTTATGCACCTCTGACGCACAAGACGCGCCATCTGTGTAGATCTCTTAAGAAAAAAACATGACTGCAAAGTTTATTGTGGAGAGAATTTTAGTTTAAGCCATTTAAGATGTGTTTGCATCAAGTTTGCTTCATTTTAGCACTGGAGCTACGGGGCTAAGGGTTAAAGAAAGATTGAGTACTTCCATATAGAGCAGAATCAATCCTTTAGAACTCACATTTACCCCAGATGCAGCTGATCAGTCAAGACGTGGTTGATGTCTGAAGTTTGCTTCTTTGACTTTAGCAGTGGGGCTATGAGGCTCATGTAGCTAATAAGCAATGGAAAGTTGTAAATTGCCAGTTAGCTTAAATGCAATGCTTTAATCTTCATACTGTGTGTAGTTGTTTAGTGTCTCTCTAATAGACTTGATTGTGTGGTTTCCGACATTGTAAGATTCACTATTACCTATAAACATGGACTAACGTACATTAGCATAGCTAAACACAGCAGCGTTCATCTTGAAGCCTTTTAGTCTGCACTGTTATTGAGTGTGTGTTTTTGGCAATCTTAAAGATGTTTTTGGAACAATCAATTTAAAAAGTGTCATTTGAGTCATCAATATTTGACGCTTTTTACATAATGAAGAGGAAGTGACATAACTTAAAGTGTTATGTACTTGAATATGTTTCAAAGGAAAAATAAAAACAGTAAAGTTGTTGTCTGTGTTTAAATTTTTAAACAATAAACAATAATCCAGCTAATGGTTTGTTTCTGAGTGCATGTGTTGGTCTCTGTATAATTTGTTGTGTTATCGACATAGTGGGTCATTGGATTCTTCTGCCAAGGCTGTGTAAGCTCTGCATCGATGACTCTGCACTGGACTGGCTCACCTCTTACCTTCTTCCTAGAAAGCAGTTTATTTCTCTCTCTGGCTTTACTTCATATACAAACCCAACTCCAAAAGGGTGGGACTGAAGGAAAAATGTAAATGAAAACAAGTCAAGTCAAATCAAAGTTTATTTATATATCTCTGCCTCTGCTCCATAGCAAACAATAATACAACAAGAGTAATAAGGACACAGAATAAGGTTTTACAATTAATATACAATACTGAATATAGAGAAAAGAAAAAAGGCAGCTTATCATTACAAAGAAGTGTTTAGATTAAGTAATAACTTAATAAAGTATAACTGATAAAGGCCGATCAGTGTAACAACGAGAAACAGATTTGTGAGAATGAGTCACTGTTATCAGTGAAAAGCAGTAACTGCTGTTACGAGAGAATCACAGTGAAAACCCATGAACATCAGTGACTGTTAGAAGCCTGTAGCCTATGTTAAGACTGTGTTAAGGCTTTTGCTGCACCATCCAGACAGCAGGGCATTACAGTAATCCAACCTTGAGGTAATAAAGATGTGAACCGGCTGTACAGTCTCAACTTGTGCTTTAACTGCTATTCACTCACTCAAGTTACTATGAATGTTAATATGTTAGTATGAATATGAGAGGAGCTCAGAGTATTGTGAGGTTAATAGTGTGTGTTCAGGTGAAGCAATCTCTATGGTTAAATAGCTTGAGTCTGTGTAGCAGCAGTATCAACAGGAGGGTCAGTGCATGAATGTGAGGTTTGCATAGCAGGAAACTCCACAGACCGCAGAGGATGGGCAGTTTTCCAGCTCGGCAAACAAACACACAGACAGTTAGTTCTGTTAATACAGACTGATTACAGTACACAGTGTTAACAGAGCGCAGCAGAGACTCCGGCAGTTTGAGCTCTTACAGCCTAACTTAGAGGAAGAGCCAGAAGATAACAGAGACATGAGGCTCCCTGAGATGAGAGCAGATTAGTTCCCAGTGATCACATCGAACTATGAGTTTTTCACACTGCTAACAAAGTCATCCTCACAAACAAGGGTATCTGCTGTGGGTGCAGACTGGGGCCCACTGGCTCTACTGGGGCGCTCTGACTGGCTGACACTTTCTGCATTATGCTCACTGCCTTTAGGAGACTCATTGAGGCCTTGCAGTGGTTCAAGTCTCTTCTGCAAATAGAACAGCTGAGGCTGATATTATGCTCTGGATTTGTGCCGTGGTATCAGAGCAGCAGCTTTACAATTAGAATCAGCATGACGGGCTGTGTTAGCAGGAGAGGAAGATGAGACTACAGAGCTATATGTAGCATAGCCTTTGGTTTTGGCTCTAGTATGAATCCACTGCTCATTTCTGCCAGCTTTTTACTCACATTATTGGCACCTCCCACACGTTCTGCTGGCCCAGCTCTGGGTGTGAATGCCAGAATGCCAGTCCTTAAACTCAGATAGGTTTGTGAAGGTAGTGTTAGGAGTCTTGCCCAAGGACTCTTATTATCATAGGATATTTGCCCAGGCAGGTGATTGAAGCCCATTACTTAGTTAGACATTAATGTCAAACCTCAGTAAAAAAAAACTGACTGAGGGAGCTTTTTGTACACCTACTAAACACTGTGGGAACACCCAGCTACTACTGATATAATGTGCACTCAGACAGTAATAATCTCCTGCACTGCCACTGAAACAAGCTGGAACACCTGATTGTCTACTGTTAGTGTAGTAGATTAGGAGTTTAGGAGCTTCTCCAGGTCTCTGCTGATACCACAAATTACATTGACAACTTGAACAGGTTGTATACACTTGCTCAATGCTTTCGGGACAATTGGTCAAGTGGTTTTTGAGCCCTGGAGCAGTGCAGAGAACCGATCTTTAGTCCTCCAAAAATTGGTGGTCTGGGTTTCATATCCAGCGAACTCTGGTGTGGTTCTGCTGTTCGTGTGGAACCTATCAGCACCACATGTGGAGCTGCGTGATTGGTTCATTTTGTAACGTGACTGCTTTGACTCGGGGTTGTCAGGGGTTTGTCAGGTGTTTCAACACAGCGAAGTTCTTTGCTGCTTGAGTGTATCTAAAGAAAATAATAAATAAACAGCAAATGGATGAAACTAGTGCCCACCACTTTGTGGTTCAAATGGAATTCTTGTTTGTGAAAGCAAACAAGGAATAAAGAGCCCCTCGCCCAAACGAGCCCAGGAATTGGTACTGGGTGCAGACTCAAGTATTTAGGACAAGTGTGAAAACACCCTGAGAGACTTACTGTGTGTTCCTGGGACCTGATGTGCTGATGTGTCTCCCTCCAGTGGTCAGAGTGTGTAAATATACATATATATAACACACACATCAGCACAGTAACCTTTAATCCTCACCTGGGAGTGTTTGACTGATCCTCTATGGAACTGGGCCTGAAATAATGTGTGTCTTACAGCTTAATGGTTCTTCATAGATGTGTGTGTTGTGTTAGTGAGGTCTCCTCCACAGAGTGTGTTATTGTGTGTGTCCATCCTCCCCCTCAGCACCTGCAGTAGAGTCCAGCTGCAGCAGTGCAGTCTCTGTGCAGCTGACTGAGGGAGCTTTTTGTACACCTACTAAACACTGTGGGAACACCCAGCTACTACTGATCTCATGATAACTCTGACAGTAATAATCTCCTA